TGATGGGAGTTTGGGGGTGACTGTATCTTCAGAGAGGCTGGAAAGCATTTCTCTCATAATGAAGTATGTCGTAATAGTGATTTTCTGCTAGGTGAATAGGCACAAAACACATCTTTGTTCATAAGGCTTTTTATTGCAGCAGTTGTCGTGAGCAAAACCTGAAAGTACTTGAAAATCCATTAAAATCACCATCAGTATTAAAAAAATACCATCTCTTGAAAGTTTGTCTCTGCAGACTGTAGAAGTGAGAAGTCGATAAGTATGAGACACATTTATGCAATTTAAGATTAATGATTAACTGTTAAAGTGCAGGCTTTGTACAATGAGCGAGGAAACAAAACCCTTCAATCTCTGCAGCTGCTGGATGAAGCCGACTTCTAAGTTACTGTGTGTGATAAGATGTGCTGAATCCCAGCCCAGTTGGCCATTGACCCGCCCTGAATCAGCGACTACTGTCTCCAGGGTGTTTTGGTTACAGTTCTCTCTTTCCCAAAGCATAATTGTCAGATGGATTTATGCCTGTTTGTGACTGGTTTTCCTCTGGTTCTGTACAAGTACCGGTGCACGACTTTGGGCATTTCTTAGACTTAAAATTTCTTGTCTCCCAAATTATGTATTTCACAAAGAGGGAATGGACTGGCTTTGAAGATTCATAATAATACTTGGATTTACTTATACCAGTTCTAGAAGTAAGACCTTTAATTATTTTTTTATTCAGCAGAATTATCGAATTCTGCCAGATTTTTTTCATACATCCAGGCCATGAACAAGTGCTCAAGTTCCCAAGTTAAAACAGCATCTTGCCAACTTTAAAACATTTGGCTGGTCAGCAGGAAAGAAAAAGCTGCTTGTAAAGTGCTGGAATGCATTTTCAATTAGTCACTCTATTGCTTAAAAGTCGAGGCATTAGGGACTGGGAGGAGAGGCAGGGGGGTGGCAAGGCTGATGGGGAGGGACAGCATGAGACAGTCTGGAGAAGAGCCTTTATCAGCCCCCAACAGCAGCCCTGAAGTTGGAGGCCACTCTTTAATAGCTGAGCTTTTGTTTAACAACAGGCTCCCCCGGGAGAATGAGGTTTTCCTGGTAGAAAACCAAGATTTCTTTCAAATAACTTAATATTGCTTTGTATGAAAGAGCAATGGAAAATATGGCTTGGGAAGATGCTAGAGGGTTATTTATTTCTCTATTACTGCCTGATAACCAGGCTGCTGGGCACCCTGGCTAAAAGGTTGTGCTTTGGCAGACCTTCCTTGGCTCCTAAAATATTTTGAATGAGATAACACCCTTGAAAGAAGATTAAATAATGAACCCAAACCCCTTACTATACTTGGTTTATTATCCTGCCCAAGACTATCAAGTTCTCAGTCCAATAGTTTTCTGGTAAAGAAATACCTGGAGGGAAAAAAAAAAATCTCATGACATAAAATCATCTTTCTAATCCTCAGTAGCCATCATTGCTTATGCTTTTTTAAATGCTTTGTCCTGTACTTGACCTTCAAATGTTTGTAGCTAGCTGATCTGGAACTTTTTTGATTCCACAGCTGTCTAAACTAAGGATGATGACATTGCTTAGAGATCCTTTTGTGTATGTGTGTATACAGGAATGTTGTTTTCAAAAGTACATATATATATTTACTTTAACGTGACTCAAAATCTTGGAAAGCTTGTACTTCTTTATCATATTAACTGAGAACTGATAAGCTCTCACTGGGGGGAACATGTTATGGCATGAAAGACCCAAATTATACAATAGGCTGGATTTCAGCAGGTAGAGGGAACTTTCGGGGTAGTTGCCTTCTAGCTAACTGTAATAAATTTGCTTAAGTAATATTTCACAGATGTGCTGGCGATTTCTTGGCAAACAAGCTGAAGATCATAGGAAATTTCTTTACTTAAAGCATAAAAATAAAAGTTTTGAAGGCAAAGTCCTTAACCCCAACAGAAGAAAACATTTAGCTAAAAGCTGGGATTGAGTCCACTATCTAAGCACAAGAGTTAAAATAATTTTGCAAAGGGTTTCTGTCTTTTTTCTGTTTTATTTGTTTTCTCCTACTATAGCTACACGCTGTATGAAATGTGTGAGGCTGTTTTGGAAAATCCATTGCCTGTCGCAAGTTTCTCTGTACTAAACTTGATCTCCTAGTTTTATTTTTAGAAAGCTTATAGTGGCTTTCTTCGGTGTTGTAGGAAAAGCTGGCAAAAGGCCAGCCAGGTCCAGCAAAATGGAGACATGGTTTTTGCTCCAGACATGAAAAGTTTAAGATGAAAATAATTAAAATAACCATAATAATTGGAAATGGGAAAGGTATAAGTATATTTATTCCTACAGTAGAGTTTTCACATGGAAATGTTGGAGGAAATAATGGAGCGTTTTCTGTGGGAAGGCAATGAAAAATACAGGAAAGTATAAATGTAGTTGTTAGAGATAAAATTCTGGAAATAGACATAGTTTGTGGATTTTTTTTTTTGATGAACAGACTAAGAGACACTGAGGATCTTGATGCACTGGAGCTCAGGGCAGGTCTAGCAGTGATCTGAAAGGGCTGAGATGTTTCTCTTGGCCTTGTTTTTTCCATATTCTTCCACTCCACCTTGAGTGCCTTGTCCTTGAGGTCTAGGGATACAGGAACTTCTGATCTTAATGTAAAGGTCTCTTACCCTTGTAGCTCTCACTGACTCCTGACCCACACAGAAACTGAAAAACTTAGGTCCCCAAGTGGGGTATAAAGACAAAACATCTGCCCATTTCTTGCTTTGATCTCTAAAACTGAATAGACAGGATGTGACAAGGACTCAGACTGGGCTTGCCAACAGGATAGGATAAGACAGGGTATTTTGAATGTTCTTTTCTTTCCAGGCTAAGCTTGAAGCCTTTCTTAATTTCAACCTCCTCATCAATATGAAATATTCTATGAGAAATTTACATGGGAAAATAGGTGACTCTAGCTCTAAAACCAACAAATGTGACAGTGAGGTGGAGAGGAAAGAGAAAAGGCACTGTGCTGTAACCACTGATGTCCTGCCCAGCCTCAAATGAGGGATTAACTTGTGTAAGTGTGGTTTACAAACTTTTGGTAGGAAACAGAGACACTGACCAATCTCTTTCTATTTGCTTTCCATCAACTCAGCTCCACAAAGAAACAGCTGAATTTAGTTTTCCATTACAAGCATCTAACCCATCTCCTGTAGGTAAATAAATGTAGGGCCCAAAGTTTCCAGAGTTGGATACAACCCCATCTCTGCAGAAGCGCTCAGAGATATGTGCGTATCAGGTGAGAAACACCCTGTGCTGCAGTGGTGTTGGGAGGTAGGTGGAACATCTGTAACCTCCAGCTGTCCTCCACCCTCCTTCCCGAGATCTGCACCTGCAATCTCACCGACTGGGGTCCCTGATGTGTTTATCCTTGTTACACCCCTCGGAGATAAAGCAAAACTGTTGGAAGCGTTGCCTAGGGGAGGATGTAAAATTCCAAGGTCTGAACTTGAGGCCTGACTTGATAAACTGATCGACTGATACGGCCCCACATGCTGAACCAGGACCTTCACCTGGCTGTGGGGGGGAAACAGGCAGGAGATGACTCAGTGTTTCTCCTAAATGAGGGGTCAATGAAGCTCTGGCCTTTGAACAAAGAAGGTATTTTGTATCTAGGTAGTTTAAAACTGGTTGTTTCTGTTTGACCACTATCTCCAGATTGCTGTCTGGCAGACTAAATGGTCACGTTATCTTTTTTGGGCAGTGGGAAGCCTCAGTGTCACCTTCTGGCAAGGGCAAGACTGTGCTGCCTTTGTGCAACCAGCAAAGGAGGGGTTCAGGCTGCCCAAACCCAGCCTACAGCGTACCAGGGAGCCCTAAAACAGTTCAGACACAGCTTGAGTTTTAACTCACCGAAGGAGGAGGCAGTGGGAGACTTAAAACAGCCTTAAAAGTTTATTATGTCTTATAATACCCTTTATTATGTTTTCATGAGTGTGTCACGCACTATCAAATCTCCCAAATCTCTATGTGACCATCATGTTACTGCTTCTTTGTAACATACAAGGGCTGATCTTAACTTTTTTTTTTTTGGGAACTGGTGGCAGAGGGAAACTAGGAGCATATGCTTGTGATATAAATAGCAAAGTGGAAGTTTCTGCCATTTGGGGTAGTTTGGTTCTGACTGAACACTTCGTGAGGTACAGTTTTGCTTTTTTCCCCCAAAGAATTTTAATTTGGGAATTTCCAGGAATCCTAATGAATTGGTGGAGCTCAAGGAGAGGGTACAGTCAATCACAGGATGAATGGAAAACATTTAGAGGGGGGGAAAAATGCAAAAAAGAAGTCTTTAAATACAGGGAAATCAATGTCAAGAGTGTTACAGAAACACAAAAGAAGCCAATCATCTAGATTTTCATAAGTAAACACACACTAACAGCAGCTACACAACTTTTCACATCACCATAGTAATCTGGAGGATGCTTTACCATTTATATTTTAAGTACCAACAGAAAAGAAATGCATTTAATGGAACTATATAGACACCTTTTCCCCTTTCAAACAGTCAAAGGGTTACATCTGGCTTTGAATTATTAGAACTTTTATTATTCCACCATAATACTAGTCTTGCTTCAAATCAGACTATTTTGGGCCACAGCTTCAGTGTATAAGTTCTATAAATTCTAAGATATTTAAAAAATAAAAAAGGAGGAGAAAGATTCTTCTGTATACAAAAGGTTGTGAACTATTTTTAATATGTCTATCTCTCTATATGGGGGTGAGGGATAGGGGGAGGAGGGAAGGGTGGGAGAGGAGTTGTACTAGAATGTCCCTCCTTTAAAAGTGTCAAACTCCAGCCTGCACAGAACAGGGAAAGGGAGACCCCCCAACAACCTTCAGAAAATAATATAAAAGCAAACCTCAGAGGTGGAAGAAAATACCCAAAAGGAGAAGACTGCAGCTTGCAGTAATCTGTAAATGATTGCTGGCAAAGGCTGGAGGCTTCGAGCTTGAGCTGTGTTTGTTCCAAAAGAAAGCCAAGAAGGACGGTGTTAATAAAGAGAGATTTAACTGAGGGCTGTGCTTGGAATAAAGTGGACTACAAAAAGGTCAAATTTGATCAGTTGGAGCAGATTACAAGGGCTTTAAAAGGTAGTGGTGAAGAAATGAAACTGGGACTGTGAAGCAATATAGCACAAGATTGATTTTGGGGGTGGAGAGAAGCTGGGACAAGTGCTTATCAGCTTGAGAAGGAGGAAGAGCTGTGCTGGGTTTGTTGTCATTCCCACACTGAGTAGAGTACTTGCTGCTTTTGTGGTTAGCCTTTCCTGCCGTGGTTTTTCTTCCTTTTTTTTTTTCTCCCTAATATATATTTTATTGTTATTATTACTACAATGGTGTCTATAATCTCTGACTTGGATCCTCTGAAAAGCTGGAAAGTTTTAAGGTAGGCCTATGTTTTCTTCTGTTTGGTTTTCTTCATTTTGGGTTTAGACCTAAATTAACTGGAGCTTGAGTTATAATCGAAATGTGAGCCCTGGGCTTAAGTAAGAAAGGAGTTTCTGGTAATTAGAGCCCTTTTAAGATACAGCAAAACCTTTGAGCAGATGTTTAGAGAGACCCGAGAGAGATTTTTTAAATATACTTCTAAGTCTTACAGTGCAGTGAGGATTTTTTTTTTATTATTATTATTTCTTTTTAAGGAAAGATTGCTCCGTAAATTCAAGTTAATAGTAAAGGCTCACACCAGTTGCAACTGCAGCATTAACTCTTTGCTTCCCTCACTGTGCTCTGCATGGGAATGGGTGGGAAACTCCAGAGGAGCGAGAAAAACAGCATGAAAGTTGATCGAGAAGTGGAAAATAGTCTTGGGGGAAGGAAGGGGGACTAAAGTCCTTGTTTCATGTTGTTGTTGAAACTTCCACTCTTTGTTGTCTCTCCTAAGGCATGTGTTTGGCACTTAAAAGTTGCTACTTTTTTACCTTTTTCTTTTTTTACTTTCAGCGCTGCTTTTTTTTTTTAATTTGCATAGTGAAAAATGGTAACTTGAACTGCTAAAAAGGATAAGGGGGGGGAGGAAATCCCTGTTAATGCCTGCTGCAGATATCAAAGATCCACAGTGTTAAATGTCCGTATTTAATCCTGCTATAAATGCCCGGTGTTGCTTTATTGAGAATCCGGACATATAAAACTTTGCAGATGGTTTGCAGAAACTTCACTAAGACATTGGAAACATGTGGGAATGTAGATGGCAAAATTATAAAATTAGTTAAATTTAAAGTTTCATAGATTTCCCTCAGCTTTAATGTAAAGCATGAAGCTGCACCTAATTTTTTTTTTTAAATGAGTAAACTGCAGGGGTTGGGAGGGTATGAATCGTGATATTACTATGATATGTATGCAATAATAATATTTTAAAGTATACTTTAGCTTCTTGATACAATGTTTTAAAGGTCTTACTGTGTTCTGAACTGACAGGGGAAAAACAACTCTTCAAAGTCAAAATATAAACTCTACTTACATGACTAAGGCTTTTTTTTCCTCATTAAACTTTCTATTTTAGACGTCTAAAATTCTCTGACCATTTTCTGAGCCTCTGGTGTAGGAATGTGGACTGGGATCCTCTCTCTCCTTGTCTGTGGTATGAGACTTGGCACAGCGGGCTTATTGCAAGTTTATTTTATTTTATTTTTCAAGTCATTTAGGGCTGTCGGCACAGAATGATGAGTTTCTCTTTGACTTCCAAAAGTTCAGCGAGGACATTGGCTCAAATGTAGCGCTGTGCAGGATGGTGGAGTGCGGGGCTGTGATTGGCATCCGGGCTGGGTGGTCACCCCGCATCGGCCCAGAGCCGGGGTGACTTTTGTGAGTCACCACCAACAAATGTCAGTGAAGTGTTTTTGCAGAGCTCCATATGTGTTGTTTTACGGCGTGTGTGCTCCAGAAAAGCTATTCTAGGAATTGTTTTAAGTTTATCTAGCTCTATGAGACTATTTCTGATTGCTCTGCTAGACAAGTCAGGTGATGCCAAGTTTGTGCTGAGTTCAGGGGTGACACAGAGGACTTGAAAGTCGTGAAGATTTAAGGAGGAGACAATGTTGCCCTCTCGAAGAATCTTGTTTACTTAGAAAAATTATCTGTTTACATGATTGTGGAAGAAATATCTCCCTGGCACTTTTTCCCTGCAACGTGCCTGAAGTTTCCCAACTTTGTGTGTGAATCTGGAGATTGCAACTGTATGGAGACAAAGTCAGTCAAAGATGTGATTATATCTGGATATTTCTGTGTGTGATCACAGCAGCAGCTCTGCCCAGATGTGATAATGTGCAGTTCAACTACAGGATGCAGAGTGTTAAGAGGTGGGAAAAGGCAATATGTATATAAGTGGAATGATCACTGACAGAAAAAAAAAAAGCTAGAAGTCAACACGCAGCTCATATGGCTTGTGACTTATTACACTGCAATACCACTTTTACCTTTTCTTATATATTTTAGTTCTTTTTCTGCAGGCTAATTTTAAACCTGTTTGATGCCTCTGAGGTTCCTGGTTTTAGTCTCCTCTCCATGAACCTAAGGAGCCTGTAGCTAATATTTATAAGAAATAGAGGAATGTTTCTGTGTGTTTCTTTTAGGTGGACAAAACAATTCTTTCAGACTCAAATGAGTTGCTGTAGCAAATGCCACGATCAGCCAGAGAGTACAGCAGCAAATTCTCAATTTTGTTTTCCTTCTGCACCCCCTGTAATTTATTCTGGGACTCGTTCAGTTTGAGACCTGCTTAGCTGGAAAAAGACTGAACGATGCAGATCCTGTGGAGGCAGCAGGTGGGAATACTTACACTGGGACTTAATAATTCCCAGGAGGAAAGAGCAGCTGTGGGCTGCCTTAGTGCTGGTTACCCCCATCTCAGCTGAGCTCTGGCTCCTCTGCCCTGCTCCCCAAATCCACTGCAAGCTCATCCTCTGACCTCTGAATGAAGGTAATAACGAAGGTGAAGGTGCAAGGCTGTGGCTGGTGGTGAAGCCTAAAAGGAGGGAGAGAGGTGGTGTTGGAGGACGGCAGAGGTTTTGTTGGATTTCACCCAGCTGAGCTGGGAGAGCTAGCAGAGGTATTTAAACCAATAAATGGCAATATGATGTGTGTATATATAGTATTACATCAGGCCTCCCTTTTTTGTTGGGTCTCTCTGAGGTAGGACAGTGAGAGCTGCAATAATTTCTGGCTAGTCTCAACACCCTCTGGGTTCATGTTACAGTAGGAGGGGGGAACACAAGTGCCCCAGTACATTTTAATGTGCATTTCTGGATTTCTCAATAGTGACCTGAATATCAATGTTACTGGAAAGAGAGCCCATGGATTTTTTTTTTCCTCCTATTTTCTCTTTTGGGATAAGCTCCCAGCATAAAATCCATGCTGTGACATCAACATACCAGTGCCTGATCTTCCTTATAGATGCCTTCTCACTTTTCATAGTATGATTACAATAAGCACCATGTCTTGTTGTGTTCCTTGGAGCCAGGAGAGATTGGCAGAACTTCAGACCTTTCCAAAATCCTTCAGAGCCTTACCAGCAAAGAGTGTGTGTTCACCCAGCCCTCCCCAGACACAGAAATCCCGTTTACCCATCCCCAAAATGAGATGGGAGTTAAGCCCCCTCAGTGCACAAGAGAGACCAAGATCAGCTGCTGTGACTTCAGAAAAGTCTCTAATCCCTGTTCAGAACTTCCTCTGTGCTTCCAGGGTGTGGTTTTGTTCCTCTTATGTGACAGGGACAACTGTTTCTGAAGAGACCTGTGCTCTGGGCCCCTACAACAGCAAAAGCAGAGCAGTAGCCTCACGAGGGGAGACACAAATAGGAGGGGGGGGAGGGAAAGGAATCCCTCAAGGCATGTCTCCTCTGTTGCTTTCCTCCCTTAATTTTTCTCCAGCAAGGCTAAATTCAGTAGTATAAATCACATGAGTTACCTGTACAGGGGAAGACCTTGTACCCCTTTACATTCCTGTCTGAAGAAATATGTGACCTTTTTATTGCTAGGGAAAAAAAAAATTTAAAGTTGGTTTTAACTTGACTTCATAACCTCAAGGTGAAATCCAAGCACAGAGTAGGAGTTTTCACTCAGATGAGTGGTCAGGTTACAGTCTGGGAGCAGCAAATCTTGCTGTGCTGCTCTGCATGCAGATCATCCTAATTTCCCAAGTCCTATTGAACTGGCCCGTCCAACTTGGCTGGTGGAGTTGGGAACATCTTGTTTGCAACACGTCATGTGTCAGGCGGATGTACCAATTCAAATGTTCTCTCCAAAATGTCTTTTTCCACCGCAAACACCATCCAAACAGCCTGTTAATGGCTTGGCTTTTCAGGAAAAAGTGTTTTTTCGTGCTTGGCAAGTCAGTCCAGGCCAGGAAGAGCAATTTCAGCCTTGTTGGTGTTTGTATTATGAGCTATTTTGGGCAAATAGTCCCATCCCCACACCCCGTTCCTGTGATTGCCTGTGAATTGAGGTGGGTTAAATAGCTTCAGAGTGTTCAAATTGGGGAAGGGGGAGGAAAGTAGACATAACAGCTCCAATTTGGTTGTGGGTACAGAAAAAAATGTCGAGATTATTATAGTGATACCAATCTTCTTTCTGTTTTGGCTTTTGCTTTTTCATCCTAGCAAAGCTTAAGAAAAGCCATCCTGTGTTGTATTCAGTATCTGAACAGACCAGTTAATGCATGGACCCCCAGCACAAAACTGCTCAGAGAAAGGACTAAAAAAAAGAAACCATTTCACATGTGCTTTACTCTGAGGACCTAGACAATGTTCTCTCCATCCAGTACTCAAAAAAACAAAAGAAAACAAACCCTGAAAGTTTGGCCCAGGGACATAATTCTGGACTCCATCGCCACCATGAAATACAGATAATGGAATTTCGGATGTCAGTGGAGAATACAAATTCCCTCATAATTGCCACAATATGCTCACTTAAAAAAAAAAAAAGGCATGAAAAGAGGGTGTGTGTATTTTGTAATAACTAAAAACACATTTGAGAAATGGTTTTCCAGTTTACCACTCCACAAATACAGATGGTGTCAGAGATGGCACTGAAGGGGATGTTATTGAGGGTCACACGTCCCAGGTCGTGACACAGATGAGAATCGCCAGGGGATGGTGGCTGTTGCCAAGCTCTGATAAGATAAATACGAGCAGCAAAACATAGTGTGATTTCCTCTCCTTTCAGTTTGAATGTGTAACTCTACAGTCACTCATGTGAATCATACTGGGATGAAAAATTAGGGCCAGCTATTTTGAAGTATGAATTTTTAATCTTTTTTTCATGTTTTGTATCTGTGCTTCTTCTGCACTTTGTAGAGGACAATATGGGCAGGTTTTTCTTGGTTGTTTTTTTTTAATGCCATTAAAAAGGCAGGATATATGGGATGATTGAAAAAGTAAAGATAACAGAA